AATTAATACAAAAATTCTGTTGTTTTCTTAATTTTTGTTTTTTTTACACTTTCCCTCGCTTAATTATATTACTCCACAGACATACGATAGAGTGTATCATTAAGTTTTCTTAGTTTTTGTACTGCGTTTTTCAAAAGATATTTTAATAAATTATGTACTGAAAAGCCTTAATTTTTCAGTATTCACTTGGTTACAGCAAAATCTAATATTAATAGTTCGCACATAAAATGATGACCCCAATTTTTTTGAAATGTGCATAATCTTAAAATATTTTTTTCTTCTGGTATCCCCATATACAGCCACGTGACAGTTCAACATTCATGTTAAAGTAAATTATTTATTATCACGTTGAATTAGAGTTTGTTTTTAATCGTGTGATTTCTTAGCTTAGTATCTTTTTGGGATTTGATTTATGTTATCGCGAACCTATCCCGTGGCGGTTTTTCATGTAGTGAACAAAATGATCATTTCATCTAATCTGTATTTGTGTGCGGAGAGGCGACACTCGGTTCCCATACTAAATTAATATCATTATACTTCTAATCTCTCTCTATGTTCTGTGGTATGTATACAAAGGCCGTATTTTTTAAATTAAAATTGAGTTATTTTAAACTTCGACGTGCTTTTTCGTACTCTACGACACAAAAGTTTTACGTTAAAGAGGGATAGATGACTAGTTCAATAAAGATTTTTACACCCGTATCAGTGGGCGTCTCTCGGTTGAAATGATGATGATGATGATGATGATGATGATCGAGTAAAAGTAATTACTTAAGCAAATATCCTTAACATATAAACATGTATTTGAAAGAAGTTAGACCTGTTAATAGTAAAAACACTATTATTATTAATTAATAATAGTTCTTACTTCATTCAAATTCTCGTCCATTGGTTAAAAATATCTTCTAAAGTTAATACATTTTCTCAAGAAATTAGGTGTACTTCTCTCGACTATAGATACGAGTGTTACACCCATTTTAACTAACCTAGAACAAGACAATTAGGAAATTCCAAACTTTTTTTTTCTTTTAACCCTTGACATATTTATGACTTATCTGCAGTGGTCGTAATTAGGTAGAGTTATTCATGTACTTACACTGATTTCATACAGCGAAAGAATAAAATGGATATGCCTCAAATCCCGAGATTAATTTTTATTTTATTTTTTGTGAGTCTAGGCTAGAAGCAAAAGTATTCGCTCGTATTTATAAAAAAGGCGAAATATGCGTATGAGAATTTGCTTAAGACTATCAATAATTTGTATTATAAATTAATGTAAACTAATAAAATTTTTATGTTAATTATCTTTGTTTTATTTGTCTATATCTGACGTTGTTATTATTATTTAGTTGTAAGATTGTGGGCCACACGGGATTGTCCATTAGAAATCCTGGGAAGGTCCACATTAATATCAACATTTCGATGCAAGTACCTCTGCTTATCTGTCGTATACGCAATGTCTAGCGCAAAGCGCTGCATATTGGATATCATAATTTTAGAAATTGCTTAACTTCGTTAGGCTATTCCTAATTATTTAGGCGACAGATTTGGGCTACTCCTAAGTTTAGTGAAAACGGGCATTAGAGTACGCCTTCTGTAGTTTATTTTAATGTTACTTTAAAAAAAAAAATCATTAATCATATAAGTGAAGTCACGAGAGTAAGTATGTTGGTATTTACTAACTTAGCAAGTGGGAGTGTGTGTGTTTGTTTACGTTCGAATACTGGTTGGTGAGACGTCAACATCAAGGCCAAGGTTGAAGCAAAGTACTTATTGTTTTGTTTTTATTTTCTTATGTTATATTATATAGATCTATGAGTTTTTTAGCGCAGTAATTTGCGCGTTCGTTCTGCGATCGCGTAGGTTAAGCGGCGTTCTCAGATCGGTTAAGCGGATGGGTGACCAAAAATTATCCCGAGCCCCTCCGTGTTTCAAAAGGCATCTTATGCCATTGGTTTATGCCTTATGCTTAGTGGTAAAAAAAACTTTAGTGCAATATTCGTAGCTTTTTCAGATATGAAATTCATCATCCCTAAGGTCCCGGATCACCATCACCTCTAAGGTCCCGGATCGTTTCGCATATTAACATAACATGAAATGTTCTTGTATGGTTTTTATTTTTTTCTATCGCAACATCGGCTTTGTCTTTAAAATAAGCGTGACTCGGTAACTTATGATTGTAAATTTTATTTATATATATATTTTTATCTATAGTAAAACATTTCACTATCTTAAAGTTCATTATACATATTAACCGGTTTTTAAGATAATACGCAAAATATTGTAATAAAAAAATGTAGATAATAAAAAAAATGCATGTTTACGACGTGATGATCGTATGAAGTACCTATTAAGATATTTTTTATTCTATAAGTATAGGAAACATCATATTTTCTTAGGAATAAGTAATCTAAGTAGTAAAGTGAGTGAGTCATACTAATGTATGATATTACAATAAAATACAAGAATATTAACTCTATTAAGCGGTTATCATTTAATAATCTACAGAAAATGTCCGCCTGAATTCAATTACAGTTTTTTCATTAATGCAGTCGCTTTTAAGATAAGTATTATTTCTCTTTCTCACATTTTAAAGTTGGTCCTTTTGGTTTGAAAAAAGTAAATATTGTATGTTTTTGTTTTTTTTTGTTGAACAATAAATTTCTCCATGCGAATTTTAAATACGCTATTTTTGGTTTTGTCGCTGATATAAACGAGTCGTCTAAATATTTTGGTGATATTTGGTGAAAACGAAACTACCGATTTGATTTCGATAAAATTTATATGAAACATCATCGGGCCCATAAACTATCTAACAAAATCATTAAAATTGGTTCATAAACGATGTGCGAACAAACAAACACATATACGGTCGAACTGAAAAACCTTCTTCCTTGTTAAAGTCGGTTTAAAAGAGTACAATATCAATAAATAGGTAATTTAAAAAAATGTAAACCTTAAGGGTACCTTAGTGATTTTTGTTCTGTCGAAAATAATTATATATCGACGTTTTTACTGTGATAAAAAAACCCTTAGAGAAATAGGTATGGTATAGTTTTCTCATGTGTCTCATGTCTCTCGTTAGCTATTAGTCCTTATTTCAAGGATGTGTACATCTCATCAGCTTTGGCTTACTCTCTCTTAAACAGCTGATTTTTTATTATTACTAGCAGACCCGGCATTGGTCTGTTACATATACGGTGTAACATAGGAGATTGTATTATAATTCGGAATTTTCGAAACTGCGTCTTTAATCAAACTGAGTCAGATTCTTGCCCGTTTAACCACAGCGGACTTCGAATTACTTTATTACGAGTAATTTGTTATTTTTCACATTTTTATTAAAGTTGTAATTATAATCTAGGCCTCAATTTGTCGGTCAAATGTCTTAAAGAGTGAGAATATCTTCGCAAATCTAAACGCTACATGTTTAATGTCAATGTGAAATCTATGTAAACTAACCTTTAATCGATAAATCGAATTCCAAATAATAACAAACGAATTCAGTTGAAGATCACATCACTTTATATTAATATCACTTAATATTAAACATCGTAACGGTCACGCGGATTAGCCCGGTCAGATGGCGACACAAACACCGTGTCTCGCGGTCAGTGAGGCACTGAACAATTGATGATGACCGACCGTGGTAACCCCACTAGTTGATGTCAGGTAAAGCCGCGAATTTCCTTCGCGTTTTCACAATAAAGATTGTAACAGACGGTTGAAATGCTATAATATATCTCGCTCGCCATCAATTCCAATGGCCCAAATACACATGGCTAAGATAATACATACTCGTAGAATATATTCGTAGAAATATATTTGTAGGTTAATAACATATCACGACATGTATGACACATGCCGTTTTTGATCAAGATTATAGCAAAATATTTATCGGCGCCAGGATATTTATTCAGGGCGCTTATTCTCAGGTCTTTTCGTCTTTTCTCAGGGCTAGTCTACGAGAAAAAAAGTAAACTGCTTCCTAAAATGCAGGAATAAATAATCTTAACCATAACCTTTTGCTTCTAAACTTTGATTAGGACAACAATTCAAATACATAAAAAATCGTTATACATCTTTTGTAATGATTATGTACAATCTGTTCTAATGACTTTCATGATATAAGAAATACGAAAATAATATTATTACAAAATTTACCAATTTAATAATTAAAACAAAATATATTAGTTACTTAAAGTATTCGGTATTCGGCCGAATATAACAAAAACAACCGAATAGGCCAAATACTAACCGAATATTCGTAGCAAGTTTAGTTAAGAATGTCTTAAGATACGGTCATATATATTTTTAAAGGATTTCAAAATATTATCGCACCTTAACCGTGTGTTTTCTTAAGATATCTTAAGATGTAATACTATATTACCTTAACCGTCTGTTACTAGCTTTAAAGGAAAGAGTTTTGTCCTTTTTCACATCGCGTCGAAACAGAGCGTCTGTATGTCATTTTGTGTGGACAAAGTCGGGAAGCTAGAAAGCGTCTTTGACTTCTTATTACCGCGAAAACTATATGATTCCTTTTGACTTTTTGTAAGGAATAAGTAAACTTTCCGGTCATCGAAAAAACTAGGATCAGAACCGGTTCCAATTGATCCAAAAAGACAGTAATAAATAATTGAAAGAGTTTTTTTATTATTGAGAATTTTTGAAGATAATAGAACCTCTTTTGACTCCGGTCGCTTAAAACAGATTGTTTTAATGCGGGAACGATACATTTTTTTCTGCCAAATTCAAATTTACCTGCTCGTACAATTTTATTATAATTTGAAATACGAAATCAAAGCAATCTTTAACGATATAGATTTTAATTCTTGAATAACGTTTAAAATAATAAAACAAAAGCAATAGTACAGTTAACAAACCATTACAATGACAAAGTTTTTGCTTAATCATTAAAAACTCGTCTCTAAAGTAAATAAACAGAGACCGAATCTTATATAATTAAGAAAAACCATGAAAGACTAAGCCTTACTTACCTTTTCTCATTCCAAGAACTAATTAAACCAAAAAATTAAGCGTTTCATTTATTTCACTTTCACCACTTTTTAAAGTTAAAAAAAAAAAACAATAAACTTCTCCAAAAACACACAATTTATGTCTGGAATGTAACTGACGTAGGTATTGACTAGAAGTTTATCAATGAAACAATAGCAAGTACTGATAAAGTTTAATATTTAGTCATAGTTACGTGGAATAATCTGTTGTTTTCTTGATATGAAATCGATAAAAGAGTTATTTTGAGTTCTGACTACTATAAAACTCTAGTTATTTTTAAGTAAATTTATATGAAGGAATTGCAAAACAAACTCCCAAAATAATAATTTCTTTTTAAATTGTTTACTTATGTTGCCAAAGAAATAAATATATGAGTTTTAGGAATAAATTTTCAATTAAAATGTCCCAAAGTCAAACAATCTATAGGTATAGAATGCGCGTCTGCATCAGGCAGAGGACGCGTAGGCAGCAAACCGGAACTGACGCAGTAACCTTGAACGGATGCTCCACAAACGAGTGCTCAATGAGTCAATTATATCGGGTATGTACTTCATGAATTTCCTTAGGACTTTTTTGAACGGATCACAAAAATTTGAAAAGGAACCTACGTTTTTTTTAAACACTTTTATTATTTTGGCTATAAAAAATATTGAGGTAAATTGAAAATGGAACGTTCTTACGATAGAGAAGTTCGTTCTTAATATCTAGGATTATAAAATGACTAAATAACTGGGCAGTGTAAAAACTTTTTGCAATACTCACTTATATAAATTGAAAAGGGGTCCAAGACGGGTTGGCCGAGCACGGAGGTCGAATCAATAGAATGACCTTTACGGAAACAATTCTGTTGTGAAATCGTACGTGCGTCTTTGCACGCTAGTATGTACCATGAATAAAAAAAATATGCAATTTAAGTAAAAATACAATAATTCAATTTAATTAACATCAAAAAAAAAATTTTTGTAACGTAATTTTCATAAAGTTGATATTAAAATAAGTATGTTTTGAACGTTTCGACAAACTTATCATGTAAAATAATTATGCCTTAATATGTTACTCATAATAATTTGGTGTAGAAAATCATATTATTTCAGGTTTGGGTGTTGTGGTATCTACGTTGTCTCAAATACTCCATAACACGAGGGCTTGCTTATCTTGGAATCTGAGAAATGTCTGAGCAATACAATGTTCTTGTTCTTAGATAAAGATTTGAAATTATTGTTTTGGTTTTAACAAAACATATTATTAGACGTTATGCCGAATCACCTTGAAGTATGTTTAAACATATTATTCAAACGAACATTATGATTTAATGTCATGTTTTGTTGGTACACTAATAGACGTATTTAAAAACCGACTACAAACAATTCAAATGTGATTGGGATGTGAAAAAAGTTTTTAACAAATTCATTCCTTGAATTTGTTTAAAACTTTTTTCACATCATTTGAAACCGCCCGCTATTTCAAATGAGGTTTCTGTTAATTTATCAACCGATTTTGCAGAGATTAATTCTTTTTAGAGTTTTTGAAGACGACTTCATGTGTAATTGCAAACCGACGGCAGAGCTTTCGACATTTAAAAGTGCTTGTAAAAGCCAAGATTGAACTTATATTGTTTTCAATTTTATTTGAGGCTTTAGTAAAAAAAAAAAAATTTTGCACAGATACACGTAAACTATAATTTTAGTGACAAATGGTGTTTGTATGTGTAAATTTACAATTTTATTTTTGGTTGTTGTCTTTAAGCTATGTAGAAGTATTACTCATCTACACTAATATTAATAGTATTTAATTGTTTGTTTGCATTGAATGGATCCGAAACTAATTCACATACGGAAAGCCACATCATACGCGGGTAACATAGGCGGGCGAAAACTATTCAATTTTTAAACCCTGTGGCTCTGGATTGGTTATGTTAATTAGTTTGATCTCTGGCTCGAAAAGTTTACAACGGTTTATAGGTTAATGAGAGTATTTAACTTTGTATCTAATAGAAAACTCATAAGAATTAACCTAAACTAACAGAAATCGAACGATTGTGTACTGTTAACCGAGAGACATAGAGCAGTTTCTTGATTCACTTAATAATGAGAAAATGCGATAGCGTAAACTGTTAATAATGAGAACCAGACGTTTTTTCATTTATCAATCGTTAAATGTTCTATCGTTCGAAATTTAAAATGTTTTACCAATTCTCGCTGACACTAAAATTATCCATTCTTTAGTTCCAATTTTAAATTTTCAAAAAGATTTATAATCAATACGATATTGTCCCAACTAGTAAATGCTTGCTTGTTCTTTGTATTTCAAAGAACAATTGCGATAGTCGTTCGATATTTAAAAAAGTGTGTGTGTAAAAAACCATAGAATTTTGTTTAATACCAGATTATACCTGCTTCATTAACTCGATTTTCTTTACCTTACCGGGATTTGAACCCGGGACCTCAAATCCACGCACGTTGAAACTCAACACTCTGCTACGGAAGTAGTCAAAATATTTATTGTTTTTATCAATAAATCTGTTGATATTCTGATGATATAATGATAGTTATTGAAATATATTTGTTTGTCTCAATCCGTTTAATTTTAATTACTACTAAACAGTAAACTAAAACAACCAAAAGTATTGATATTTAAGTAAATCATAAAACATGAGTATGATTCATAAAAATTCCTTCTAAAATACTTTTTATTTCATCACGTACAAACAGACTATTTTTATAACAAGTAGGGATTTAAATATGGAAATAATATATAAAACTACAATTTTTATTTTTTGCCTAATTATATTTTAATAAAAAATATATATATTTATCAAATTAACGACGAAGGTAAATTCTATATCGTATCCATTTATTTATCGTATTACAGAAAGTAACAAAAAAGTATTGTTGCATCAACCTTGTATCGGTTTTACATAAAAATAAAGTAGAATAAATAATAAAAATTATCGAACTTAAAGAAAAACTCAAATAAAATAATGAAATTAAAAAAAAGAAGAAACATCCCTGGTGGGGATCGAACCCACGACCTTTGGATTAGAAGTCCAACGCGCTATCCTCTGCGCCACAGGGACTGTATCTGTTCATTCGAAATAGTATATAACATTCAGTTTAACACACCATACGCTATGACGTCGTCCGATTGAAGCATGTTTATTGTTTTATGGCATGGGAAATACACGCATAGCTCGGCGTAGATGGCAGCACTAGACGTATAAGAATAACTTGGATTGAGAGTTTATATCAAATGAAAAATAAGAAGGTACATGATAGCAATCCCGTAGATAACTACCATGACTACGTAAATTACTACAATGAAACTAAAAACAAATGAAAGTTATATTTTACTTTTAATTTGCCCAATAAAGTAAAAATACTTTGGAACTTTTTCTATATGCAAATGCATCGTTTAAGAACGTTATGAGAAATTGACCAAATGCAAATTTGTCATTGTGAGAATCTTACCACAGCGGAATTTGTTTCATTATGGCGAATTTCACATTATAAGAAATTGTCTTTTTGAAAAAAAGCTATACCCTATATACAATATCAATCCATGAAGCTATTTTGCCTCCGGTTTTCATTTTTTTAAGTTGTAATTTTGAGATGAAACGTCATCATCTCAAGTAAACTCTTCAACAAAATTCAAAATTTAACTTGGACATTCACTACCAACATACTCGTACAAAAAGTAGAGTGTCTATAATACTGAAATATGACATAAACTGGATTCTGGCGAAATCCACAAGGGCAACGCCATTAATTAAAAAGAAAAAGAAGATGTAGACATGAAATAGACTTTCAACGATCAAGTCAGGGGGGACTTGACTGAGATGTGGATACTACGAAAATAAAGTTATTTCTATTTTCATAAGTATTTAATATATTGTACTAATTTTTTATTCTGTTTATTATTCAAGGAGAAAAACTGGATTAATACATTAATAATATTGTCAAAAGAATTCCAACCTTACGAGTAGCCTTCATACTTACAGCTTTTATTATTGTTGTTTTTTTTCCCCGTACTCATTATTCCCGAATTTCTCTTCTGAAGTCGGGATTGAGACATCGTATTTGGGTCTTTCAAATTCATATTTTTTGTTAAAATTATTTGGATAAGTTATTACTTTTACTTAAGTAATACTTCTCTCATAGATGCTAAGGATAGTCTCTATATGAGTCTTGACTACTGAAACTAAGTGCGATCTTAACATTTAAACCTTATTCTGTACGAATTTACATAACACTTTTAAAACCCTACATAGTCGTATGTAGTCTCCGCTTCAATGGTGCCGTGCATAGGTTTTTATTGTGAAACTCCATTGAATATGTGTTACGTTTCTATTTACACTGAGTAGATTACACCATAATATTCCAAATAACGAAATCGATTCTGTTGTATGCTGTATGAAACTAAATTAGGCATTTATGGATTTTGCCCTGATTTCGTAATGCTCTAGTTCATTATTTATGATTCAGAACTCATTATATTTAGTTATCATTTAAAATTATAATATTAATAAGTACTACTCGTCCTAATTAAAATAAAACCTGGAGACCTATTTGCCTGAAAACGAAATGCTTATATTACTCCAAAGATACGCATTTTTTGATAATTTATAATGCAACCTCTATGCACAGAAAATCAGCATGGATATGACTTTAACGAAATTATAAGAACTAATAGAAAATTTTCAATGTTTTGTTCGAGGACAAATAGAATAAGCCCTCAAGTATCATGTTAAGTCGTACGAGTCATACATGTTGTATTTAGTATCGTAACAGAAAAAAAATAGAAACTTTTTTGAATATTTTGGTTGTTAGCATAATAACAATAAATGTGACATTTTATAAAATATTATGTCAATCAATAATTATGCAGTTTATGATGTCATTTTCTTGTTAAAAATATCGGCCCAGTATTAAAAATCAAAATATGTGTTTTTTTAAGTTTGTTGGTCAAGAAATTAGTTTTCTTTATTTTCTTTACTCTAATGAGCACAAATAAGCTCCATATGAAAAACTTTTTGGTGCTATTTTTACATGAATATGACGCCAAAAAGTTATACATATGCATAATATGCTTCCCGCGTATTTGTATTTGTCGAAATTCTGAAAATTTTGAAACTCTTTCTT